ACAAAATCAACATTAATAAAACCAACACAACCTAAATATATATTTTAGATTATATTTTTGGTTGGTGTATGGAAATTTCAATTGTATCATCTGAAAATTGCCTGATGTTGACTGCTAATAAAATAAGTACAAATGTTTGAATATATGGCTTAAATATAAATAACACCAGAGAGTTTGGGGTAGTAAATATGCATGTACTTTATCCTAGATTGTGATATACATTTTAATCATTTTGTTCACTTGAAATATCACATTTTATACAGAATTTAAAAATGTGTTTTTAAATAAAGAATAGAGATCAGTGAAATGTTTCTCCAGTGGATTCTTTCAAGTGAAAATGTATGAAACTGCTATAAAACCAGAGTTAATACACATATAAACAAAAATTTTTGACTTAAATATATATTATGTGGCATTTTAAGACAGCATTATGGTAACAGCAAGATGATCAAAATCACAAGTCATTGTGGAAGTTCACAATGACTAGTTTTCCAACAAAAGTTTTAAGAGATGAGTTAAATCAGCAACCATTTGCGTGTGTGTTTTGTGGTCACTTTATTGTTATTAGTTTAACCTAGAATGGAAGAAGACATCAATAAACAAGATGGTCAAATACATAATGTCCACAGCCTAAAGGAGAGTAAGCCAGAAACTAATAGCTCAACTGTAGACACTCCCAGCTAAAGAAAATATCAAATGTTACATGCTGTTCACATCTTAAATTGTAGTTCTTGAAGAAAAGCTCATTTGTTTTCACTAAACTTAGAAACCTTTAGGAGACCTGATCATTTCAATTTCCCAAATGAAAAAAGTCCACAATAACTGAAACATCTCAGATTCTTGTAAGAATTTGTTATCATATATGCCTATGATAAACACCTCTCTCAAATAAACCCAAATCAACTACATTTTAAAATAATAAATCAGGAAATATGTCATAAAGGGCAATTTCCACTGAATGTTTGTCTTTCTCAAATATCTACCAACAGGGTCAATTTAACTAGGAAAGTCAGTTTTTAAACTTCAAGTTAGTCAGAGCTTGAATGACAACACACACACAAAATAATCATCTTAAAAACAAAATAAATTGTACAATTTGAAGCAATTACTTAAAAATACTGAATAATATACTGAAGAAGATATTTCCACTTCTTTCTCTATTTTCCTTCTTGTTTTCATAAATTTAACCAAGTAATATCTCTATTTTCACAAGGACATAAAGTAAAAGCCTAGGTTCAGAATTTAGGAAAGATTATTACTCCAGTGATCTGTGGAGTGAGTGGTCTTTTTTCTAACACGATGTTAATTAAGAGCTTATTTAATGCATTTACATTTGGTTATATAGCAAGAGTTTGACTAAGTCATTTCTAGGAAAGCTTATATTTTGGGAAAACTGTCACCTCAAAAGTTAGGCTGTCCATTTTGTTCATTAGTAGTAACTGCCCACTCAGCACCTACAATAATACTGAAGGAACCTTAGGTTCCTTAGTTTCCTTAGGAAAATCCCACAAAGACTACTTTTGTAGAAACTGAGAAGCCAAAAGATGTCAGATGTGAGGAGGGTCCCTCAAACCCCAGTGTCATGAACCATGCTACTGGAGAGTCCAAGGATTCTTGAGTAATGCATACTTCATTTTGCCATCCAGGATTGGAGAAATGGGAAAGGTTCATTCCTATGTCCTAATAATAAATCAGAACATGGTGAACCAAAAATAGCTGTCTTCTGGGGGATCCTATCAGTATCAATATAAATAGTTAATTTTGGATGGGGGGCTACTAGGATTAAACCCAAAGGTACATTATCACTAAGCTTTTATAAATAAGCTTTTATTTATTTATTTATTTATTTATTTTGAAAAAAGAGTCTCACTAAATTGCGTAGGGCCTCACTAAATTGCTGAGGCTGGCATTGAACTTATGATCTTCCTGTCTTAATCTCCCAAACCATTGGGATTACAAGTGTACACCACCTTGCCCAGCAAGTAGCTCATTTATGAAAGGACTAACCACTCCTTAAAATAATGTTCACTTTAGGATTCACTTGACTGAACTGTTTTTGCTCAGTAATATACGAGGCTCTTCCCTGTTGTTACAAATAGTTATAGATTCAGGCCAACTACAGTTGGTGCTCAGTATCTGAGGGTTCCACATCCTTGGACTCAACCAGCTGTGGTTCAAAAATATTCAGAAAAGAAACTGCATCTACTAAACATGTACAGACTTTTTTGTCATTATTCTTTAAACAATACAGTATAATAAATATTTGCATAGTACTTACATTGTTAGGCATTATAAGTACCTAGAGATGATTTAAAGAATAAAGGAGAATATGCATGAGTTACATGCACCATTTTTTGTAAGGGACTTGAACATGTGCAGATTTTGGTATCTGTGGGAAAGTCTTCCAATCAGACTCACAGACACAAAGGGATGACTGCACTTTCAAACAAGGTCCTTGGTACTTGTTCAGATTACATAGATTCTTCTCTGGGCTAAGGAATACACATTCTACTTTTTGAAGATCCAATTGGTCAGTCTATTGAGTTATGTTAGACTAAAACCTAGTTTTCTATATATAATGAAAAAATAACAAATTTTTCTACTTAGTTTTCACTGGTTTGTAGAAATATCACCTGGAAATCATCACATAATATTTTATCTTTCAAAGTTGATACAGTTTTTAAATTTTTTGACCAGTAGCCATATGTGTCCATGATATGCCATCTATGACCAGGAACAACTTCCTCAATTATTTTATTTTGCAACTAGTGAATTATGTTACTCAAAACTGTGAAAGTTTAAGGCATAACAAAGAAAACTAAGAAGAAATGTAGGTATCTTTATAATTATGTACTCAGCTTTCCAAAAGAAATTTAAATTCAATTTAGATTAACTTTGTTCAGAAAATAATATGTTGAAAACAATTCAAGAATCTCATCTTGTTGTCACACCAAAGTTAGCTCTTCATAGACTTTACTAGTTTTTTCTAAAAACAGAATTCAATCAATGGACCTCAGTTATTTACCTTATGGAAAAATGCAAGCAATATGGGCCAGAACCCATGTATTTTCCAGAACATAATACTATAAAGGCTCAAATATTTAACATACAGTAAATAACAAGCAATGCAGAACATATTTTGACATAAATGTTATTACATGAATCTTATGTCTGCCTATAAATCATTGGAGTTATGATTCTCATTCAAGGTGCTGTCTTTTCTATTTGATGCCTTCTTTCTGATATCTTTCAATTATTCTCCATAAATATTTTTACCTTATGGTGAAATTGGCTATTTGAACACAACAGTTAATAGATATGAGGAACTACAAGGGAAATCTTAGGAGCAAAATATAACAAATGCTTTTCTATATGCCTGTAACCTATGAGAATCCCTTCATTACCAAGCAATATCAATTATAATAAATACCAAAATAACCACCAAGATTTAGTGTGTTGGTAACTAAATTACAGTGAATATATCTGCTCTTCCTGAGTTGGACTTATTCCTACAGGTAAAATCCCACTAATAAATCAAAAAGATGTGTAAATAAAATATTTATTTAAAGGCACAGCCTTGCAATGACTGTTACTATAAAACAAAAATGTTCAAGGGATTTCAAAGAGTAAAGACCCACTTTAAAAATAGTCATAATTTAATGGAATTCTCCTCAATTGCATGGTAATGATATGGCTATTTTTTTTCTCCCTCACAGTTCAGTGAGGAAAAGTAATTATCATGTAGTTTACAACATGTGTAATTTGTGTATAATTATAAGAGACGCTCATTGTCTCTATAAATACTTATTGAAGCAGCAAATAACTGATCACTGCCAAGAAAGCTAAATGCAGGCAACACTAATTTGAGATTATCTGTTCCTCTTTCTAGTCCTTCTTGCTGTTCAATTTCATGGCATTTGATGATAACAAAAGTAACGAAACAAAGGAATGGTATTGTTTCTGCTTTTTGAAATGCAGACAGATTCAAATGATCATCTAAAGGTAAATTTTAGATGATCAGACACTTCTATTCTTGGTAACTTCAATAAAACCATACATTTGCAAAACAATGATTGTCTAAATATTTTTTAAGAACCATCAAGTGATTTTGGTAGCCTTTTATTAAAACAAAATACTCTCTTAAAATTCAAAATGAACTGTCCAGAATTTATTTTTGTGAGAACTTAACTTGAGATGGCAGCTCTTAGAATAGGGGGCTGATATTAGTCCTTCAAGGTCCACTGCCCACCTTTGGTCTCTGGGAGGCCAATCTCCATGGGCAGCATCCCTTTGCTCTCAGTTTGGTTTGGCCATTGGAAGTAAGCAGCATGAGAGCTCAGGCTGAAGGACAGTATGATGGGGGCATTTATTGTCCTGGTTCCTCTTTGAGATCGACAGCCTTAGACTCATGCTCCTCACACTTCCTTCTATAGCCTTCTTCATATAGTTTTCTCTTCCTCTGGGTGGGGTAATTGTGTGGGATTTTAAAAGTCTGTTTTAACCTGACCTTGGATACTGCAAATCCTTGTTCTTTTCTTTTATCTTGCTAATACCTTTTAAAACCACCTTTTATTAAAATCTTTGACATTATTCTAATTTTATTGTGTCTTCTCTTTTCTGTGAGATCCTGATGGTTACATTTAGTTCTTATTTATTCTTTATGAATTTCACTGATAAACCAGGTGTACATATGAACAAAGTATTTAAATACTTGGACATTGTAGACCAATGACATAACAAAATATAGCACTTAATGAATGTTTGTATCATTTATATATCCATGGAATGAATTTAACTAGAAATGTCTAACTACCACCTAAAAGTTTAGATTTCTAACAATAATAAACACATTAAATTGAAGTAAATACTTTTAGTTATTCCTATAAAATTATTGAATTGCTTACAAAGAACACACAAAAAGCTAGAAACTAGATATGTTTACAATATTTTCAAGAACAAGATTTATCTTTACAGATGTATATATTAGGAGAGAGATTTACCTTTTCACCAATTTCTCCTTTGCTGCCTTCAAAACCTTGTTCTCCCTGTAGAAGAGGAGTGTGGTATGTATAAGAAAATAATATTAATAATACATTTAATCTTAAAGTAAAATAATGTTGCTAACAATGAAAAAATCAATAGTTTAATATAATAATTCCTACTATGTAAGCTCTAAGCCAATATTAAATAACACAGAATTTAAATATTCCTAAATTTTGAAAGAACATTTTTCTAGTAGCTTCTAGGCAATTTAATCTTGATAAGCCTGAATTTTCCCATGTATAAAATAAGTATGCTAGTAGTTAGTACCTGGCTCATTGACTTGTTTTGAAAGTTAAACATATCATCAGCATAGAGCCTACCACAGACTATGTCATTCTTGTTATTATCACTACTTATTATATTATACTAGATCCAGGAGAAACACTTCTTGGAAAGCTCATGTTGCTACATGCTTCCAGTGAGAGTTTCAGGATGGATGAGTTCTGGTTTCATGAAGTTCTGCTCCTGCTCCCTCCTGCTCCCTCACCAGCACAGTGCTCTCCATTGTCCCTCTCTCCTGCCTTTCAGCCACAAAAAGGACTGGTGGTCACAGAGATGCTGGCTGTTAATTGCCACATTTATTCTGAAAAATGTAAGTCCCCTTTTCTTCCAGTAAATCCTCTCTGATGCAATGAGCCTACTTCCACTTTCAATTGGGTATAGATTTTGAGAGCACTCATGTTCCCTCCATACAGTCAACAGATATTCACTGATGCCTCCTCCATGCCAGGCGCTCAACAACATAGTCAGCAAGTGACTATTGGGGATGGGTCATATGCACCCCTCTACTTCTGGAACTCTTTGACATAAAAGCATTCAGGAAGCATTTCCCCAGGGCACCAAGACAAGAGGTCAAGAATTTCTTATCTCCAGTTTGTCTATAATGCCTCTACAAGGTGACACCTGGCATAATTTAAATTTATATAAATTATATGAAAAGGAATGCCAACTTAATACTGTATACATGTTTGTGAATGTATAATTTGATACATGTACATACAAATACATGTAATGGGTACCCATATACACATATATGATTAAATAATTATTTTTGCTTTACCTACTCTCAAAAAAATTACCAGGGAGGATAATAGGTTAGTTGAAAGATATTTTTACCACTGAATGTATTGCCTATCTTTTTTTTCCTACCATTTTTCCTAAAATATAAACTTTAATTTGATCCGTTAATTCAAGCTGACATTGAAGCTGCTAAATGCCTCCAGTACATGAGCCACAATGTCAGCATGATGCAGCCACCACAAACAGCTGCTGGAAAGTCCAAAACTATTTTCCAGCAGATAAATCTGCACATCCCTTGGCTTGCAACTTGACTCGCAGATGCAGCACATGCTGTATCAATGGGTTTTGTCTAGAACTACTGTGAAGAAATTCTGAAGCTTACCATTTCATCACTGCCAGTTCAATCTTATTATCTTTATTGGGCCAAATAAAGGAAGCATTTTTTAAAGCTGTTAACTATAAACAAATGCATATCTTTTAAAATGATATTTTAGCCACACAGAAAAAATTAGTGCCTAGTAATTTCTGATACCTTATTGCAAAAATGTGTAAAAACTTCTCCAGAACATATAAATAATATGCTTGGCTTTGCTGGGCATCTAATATTGCATCAATAATGCTGTCCCCTGTGGTGGGATTATCTGGGTTGTATCATGACAGCTGTCCCCACCTGAAGTGACGCCCATCCTTCCAGGAAACTGAAATATACCAATCTACATGCTCGTAGCTATGCTGGTCAAATTCAATCATTCTCTTTCCCAGAAAGAGAAAATAGTCTTTGGACAGTAAAAAGGTACAAAGAATGTTCACTTTTTAAAAGAAAAATATGCTGGGCATTGAAAGAAGCAACCTATCCAGCAAAAACCTTCTCATTTATCATGCATTTGTCATTTGGAAAGACATGTTTTGGAAAAGACTGTAATGACTTTGTAATATTTAATATTTTATCACTGTAACCACCATATTGAGATAAACCTGGAATATACAAAAAGAAGAATAAATAAAAAATAACCACATCCAAAGGCATTAAAAATTATTCCACTGTACACTGTAAGCTTTAATAACAGTGAAAATGTTCCCAGAGAAACTATCTGCACTTTCAGTATTTCCAGTACTCAGAATGCACTATTGTTCACGTTCTCAGATTGCCCTCTCTCCCAGCATGGTCTCTCTGAGAAGAGACCATAGGTCCTCATTAACTTCTTGAGTTTTTGATGAAATTTGGTTTTATAAAATACATTTTCTGAATCTTTATTATAGTATGAACAAATTCAATTTTCAAGTTGCAAAAACTCCCTAGTTCACATAAAACATTAAACAAAACCTCTACCTTTTGACCAGGTAAGCCTGGAGCACCAGGTAAACCATTTTCACCCTAAAAAAAAGTAAACAGAATAAATTTTGTTAGCCACAAAAACAAAGACTTTTTTTGTTTGTGTGTGTGTGTAGTCTTCAATAACCAACACTAATGTTGAGGAAGAGTAGCCTAATATTGAATATCTGTCATGTTTACAGACTTTCCATCTGTCCATTAGATCGTAACTCCAGGACTACCATCTCAACTTTAAAGTAGGGAAAGGGAGGGAGGCTTTTATAGGTTAATAGTTTGCTTAAGGTCATCCAACTTGTAGCAGTACCTGAGACTTGAAATGATGTCTCACTGGCCACAGCTTGCTTTTCCATATGCTGTTTAGCATCCTTATTTTATGTTCTTTCTTTCAAACCTCTGGGCATAACATTAAAATCTGACACAGTGCTTTTTATGGTACAGGTGATGTTCCCCTAAAAAACCTATCAGGTCAATATTATTACCATGACTGCCTTTTATGACACAGTAGGTGGTGAAACTGAAATTCTAATGCACACAGTTTAGCTCTGTGTGCCTGGCTGCCTTCTTTAACTGTCTCTGGGAGAAGATTTAATTCTGACCTGTGTCTTTTTTAAATTTTTTTTTATTTGTCAATGGACACAATACCTTTATTTTATTTATTTTTATGTGGTGCTGAGGATGAACCCAGTGCCTCACATGTGGTAGGCAAGCACTTTACCACTGAGCCACAACCCCAGCCCAAGTATCTTCTTACCTAGAGTCTGAAATATGTATGTATACACAAACACATACATATATTCTTATCATGTTTAATTTCTTATCTATTTCTGCTGATTGCCTTTTGATTGATTTTGTAGTCATATATAATGCCATTTTACATGAAATAATCACTTGGAAGAATTTTTAGTTCTTTCCATTCTTCTGGTTCCGGTCTTGGGGATAAAGGTTTTCAGCAGATGGCTATCAGTTTCCAATGCTGGAATTCATGGGTCTTCTTTGACAAGTTGTCTGTCTAGTCTGTGAACAGCACACCAGCTAGAATGAGATACCCCTGGGAGGATGTGCACGTTCTCAGTGGAGTCTTAGGAATTTAGCTGGTTAAGGGAATTTACTTTGGCTTCTGAGTTTCCAGTTTAGGCAGTTCAATATTAACTATTGACATCTTCTATTTCCATCAAATATTTATAATTAATTTTAAAGCTAATTTGTTTTAATCATTATTTACCTACAGTTAAATACCATTTCTAAAAATTGTTTCAACAAAATTCAAAGATGTGAAAAAAAGTCACATCTTCAAATTTTAAAACAACAATCTAAAGAGATCTGTAGTTTCTGATTAATACATTTTTAGCAAGTTTTGGTGGTTTTTATTAGAGGTATACATCTATACACATGCACACATGTGAAAGTAAGATTTTTCTTAGATTAGATTAAATTATCAACATATTCTACAGTATAATTTTTATCATCACAGAAAGGCCAAATCTTTATGCTAATGTAATTAATTGTTGAAGCAACAATAAAATAATTATCTATATAATAAATATTTCTATCATTTAAAATTATTATATTTCTAGATGTTAGATATCACTCAAGTCTATCAGAAACTTCCAAATCCATGTGATAAAGTGATAGCAAAAGCACACTAAGTATTTGACGCTAGAGAACATTCTATGGAAATGGAGCTTCTATTACTCATCACAGAAGTATGTCCACTTGTCCATAAGCAGTGGATTATTTTCATCAGTTGAGCCAACATAATGGTTTATATCATATTACAATTTACACATGATAACAAGATATGGCATATAATCCAATAAGTACACATTTATATTGCCAGAAATACTGTTTTGAGAGATAGAAATAGTGACAGTATCTCCTCTTTTCCTTTGCTTCAGCCCACTCTTATGCACCATATGCTCTGGGCACTGGCTCCCAAAGTACCCTCTCAGCCCTGTATCAGGTTAGGGTTACACCCAGACACATGGTTAATTATTCACCAAAAGTCTCTAAAGCTGTGATATTGATAATGTGTCTTTAGTTGACACAGGTTTTGTGATTTTTATAATTAACATATTTTCTTTTCTTATGATCAGTGTTAATTAGTCTCTCCTCTTTCTGGACTGGAAATTTGTTTTGTAAACATAATTCTAGCTTCCAAGATAATCCAATTCACAATACTATGCCATAAGAAATGAGCTGGCCTTGAGCGACATCAACATGTAGAAATTTATAAAATATTGTTGGTGCTTTCAAAGCTTAAGTTTGGAACTTTGGTATTTCCTTTCCCTATTTTTCTTGAAGTTACCATAGATGACCTACTTAGACACTTATAATCATTTTTTAAAAATTGTCATTATTCTAGCCCCTGAGGGATAAATGAGCATATTTGTTTTTGTTTTTATCTAAAAAAGGAAAGATTTATTAATTAGCATTAAGAACTAAAGAAGGAAATAGTCCTAATTACTAAATTTTTCTTTAACAGATTAATGGACAATTATGTTCCATCAGAACTTTATCTAAAACCTAATTTATGTCAGAAGAATGAGTCTCTATTTATGTGCATGCTGAGGCACAGGCTCAAAGCCCTGAGGGTGCTCTAGGCAGCTTGGGTTCATATTTATTTGTACCTATAAAATAAATATCTGCCTAACATTACTGGAAGGGTACATATTATTTGCCTTTTTTGAAATCCTGCGGTGTCTCTTTTCCAGTCTCAGTCTAGGAAAGAAAAAAGATGCTTCTCTTTTCACTTCCAATCAATATTTTAGTTCATTAATGAAAGGAAATTATAATCAATGGTTTCCAAAGCAACCCTAATTTTCAAAACATGTTTCTGAAGCATGTACTTTCTGTTACAGGTTTTTCTATCAAAGGATGCATGTCCTTTTGCAGTTACAATCTCAAACTACAGAAGGACAAATTAATATATATGTGTAATAAAAAGCATGGCAAAACTCCACCAGTGCTGCTGATAGTATTCTTGTCAGTGTTACTATAACACACAGACTCTCTAAACTTTGCAGAACAAACAAAAAGCACCCTTAGCAGAAGTCAAAATAATCTATTTGAGAAACTTTTGGAAAAAATTCAGGTAAGATTTGGGGCTAGCTGATCAAACCAATTTCATGTAACTTCCTTTTTATCACTGTACTTTTCCTAGAAGTCATCATAGCTAGGCCTAAAACATAAATTGTTAGTTTTCCTGATTCTTTGCATATTGGGTCAATGTCTTTCTTATTATGTAGGATATATATGTTGTCTGAAAGACATCTGATTATAAATCATATTCACTAGGGCTACCATTAAAAAACCCAGAACCAATAAGACCAAGCAAAGAAAGGTAGAATAAGCAAGTAAACAAAACATTTGCAAATACCTACAATTAGGCTGAGAAGGCAGAAAAGTTACATACTATGTTGTAGAGATTATTTCTTCAAAAAGTTAGGTATTCAAGCTTTGATTTAAAGGTCTGGTATCTTATAACTTTTTTAATTAAAATATAAAATTCCATTTATCATTCCACCTAGAGCACTTTTTATACAAACATAACCTTCTATGTACACTTTGAAATACATCAATATTTCCAGATTAATGAATTTTCATTAAAATAAAATTAAATGTTGAAATAGCTGGAAGAAATTATCTGAAGTGGAATTTCAGAATTCTAGCATGAAAATCAATAAAACAGGCAGCAAAAAGTTAACCTGATTTTGCCTCTGTGTGTCACTAATGACATGTATACATACCTTCTTGACTATAGTCCTGATTTATTCAGACATAATTTTCAGATATTAAATTTTTATAAGGTTCCTAAATTGGTGGAGTTCTAATAAACATTTCAGAAATTTTAAAAAAACACTGTTTTTTTCAGATATCTTATTCAATGAATTATTTTATTTCAGGAGGAGAATTTTTTTCTTCTTTATTTTCTTCATTCCAAGAAATAAACAATCAAATCAAATATCTATATCTATATCTAATAGCATAGAATTTAAAACTTCAAATGTTTTGAACTAGATCCTTAATGCAGCTAACACATGAGATTTATTATTACATTGATGCTCAAAATAAGACCAATTTGTAACATTCTTACCACAAAATTGATGACACCCTCTTATTAAGTATTCTTATGAGTCATTTTGTGAAGAGAAAGCCAGCTACCACATGGAAAGTATGATTGATACATGTCTTATTCACGATAGTATAAGTATGGTTAATGAGGAGCAACTGAGCTCAATATCTATTCTGTTAAAAGTCTATTATTATGAGGGTATATATGTGTATGAAAGTATATGCAGGTACATATTCCTATAAAATAAGCACAATGGATAGTCTTAAATATAAGGAAAAGTATAAATTCATATTTTATATTCATATTACCACCAAGGATTTAATGAGATACTCTTAAAATCTTCTTTAAAAGTCAGGCACATTGGCTATTATATTGCACTGCAGAGAGCATAGGAAAAAAATCCATGTATGGTTATTGAATCAATGCTTTCTGAATCTACATTAACTTTCCTCAAATTTCTATTAGTCTTAATTCTGCTGTCTATAATTCCACAGCAAAAAAAAAAAAAATCTTATAGGTCTTATACATGACATCCTTTTGTATCACTCTCAAATCTTCAATTCATTAAAACATTATTTTTTTAATTATACTTTGAAATTTCTTAATATTATGATCCCTATTCTTTGAGCAGACACTGGTCCATCAATATGCCTGAAAATGTGGTACTCAAAACTCAGCACAGGACTCCAGAAATGGTCTTACATAAGAAAGAGCAGCCTCACAGTCCCTCTCTCACACACAGCCTTATTCTGGATACTATATAATATCAATCAACTTGCTTTTTTAAAATATATTTTGGGTTGTAGACCAACACAGTACTTTTATTTTATTTATTTATATTTATGTGGTGCTGAGGATAGAACCCAGGGCCTCACACATGTTAGGCAAGGCCTCTAGCACTGAGGATATAGCCCCAGCTCTCAACTTGCTTTTTTAGACAAAATTGTTACATACACTGAACTTGTACTCA